TTGCATGCAAGAATTGGCAGATCGTGGCAGTTTGTGGGGTGTGGGCCAGGCTGCCCACAAAAACAACGGTTCAAGCTTCAATCGAGGCAAATTGTCCAAGCAAGTCTATTGCATAACCTTGGAACAATAGCTTGCACATAGCCCAAGCTTGAATACCCTGGACCCTAGCCTTGTCCGCTTGCCTTACATACGCATGTCAAAAATCGACGATGGCAGAGATTTCAGAAATCGTCAAAACTGCGATGATGGTCTTCCACGATGAGGATCCAAACACGCTCGCACGTGTTTGGCAAGCACTATTCCATGTAAGGGACACCACCCTTCACTAGAGATAGCCACCCGGATCCGTTAATAGCGGACGGAGGTTAATTTCCGTTAATTTTCCGTTAGTTAATGGAAAATAACGAAAAAAGACAAAAATTAACCAAAAATTAACGGATTTTTGGATTTTTTGGGGATTTTTGGGTTTTTTTCCTACTTATAGTTTATGGAATTCGCTATTAGAGAGTATGTTTGTATTTTATTTCAACCTATGCATACTAGATTTTCAACTAGCCGCAGTTGTTGTGATTTTTTGGGGTTTTTTTCGATTTTTTTGGATTTTTTTCATTTTTTCTGAATTTTTCTCCCTTTTTCTTTAACGGAATTTAACGGACAGCTGATAAAAATTAACGAACCGGACTTAACGGACCGGATGGCATCTTTGAGTGGCCACCTCTACCCTTCACCGCAAAGACAACAACGGCTTAATCTTTGGCGCACCAAGGACGGGAGTGACCCAGAAACGTGCAGATCTCTAGCGGATGTGGAATCTGCACGCACACTTTTTGGACGATTTTCGGCCAATTTGGGGGGCCATCCATAGGGGGTGGGACTAATTATTTTTTTTTGAAAATTGGTAGTTAATGGTTTTGCAGCCCAATCTTTCCGATTCTGATGTTTTTTGGTAAATTTAAGGTGTCCTTTATAACGAATTTTGTCTCTCAAATAGAGGACAATTAATTCCGGACAGAGGAAGTATGTGTTATGATTTAAAAAGCACCGTGGGGGGTCTGCTGCACTTCAAAGACAAAACAGGCCCCGTCTAACGGGTCGTGCAAAGGACACCCCCTCGAAAGCAATCATGGGACTCTTTTCCATATTGTGAAAAGATGATGTGGAGTCTCTGATGCGACCAGAGCAGCACGCAAAGCCATGAAGCGGGGTGGGGTTGAGCGGGGATGGGCGTGGGGGGTGATCTCAGTGTCAATTTGGCACTCAGCTAAGCACATTGTAGTCCCATACATTTTGTGCATTTGACATGGTGTCATCAATACCTCTAAAAGTGAGCAGAATCTTGAACGCTTTGGGGTTTCCGGCAACACAATGCCTGTCGCAGGGAGCAGTCACGTTAGAACGTTCTTGCTACGCCCTGGCCCTGAAGGGGATACCTGTGTGTTCTAATCAGCCGAGAGTATAGTGTGACTTGAACACCGACGTGGCTTCAGAATTTTGTGACTCGTGAGTTTGCGTTTGGCACTCAAGAAATGCACTCCATTGCGCAATGGGCACAACACAATAATTGGTGTTCTGTCATTCTCATAGGGTATTTGTTTGGGTTGCCATTATGTAGGAGCTGTATCTCCCGAGCCCTGGGAGCCCCTTCCTATGTTGGCAGCGTATGCACACCTTCCCTCTTCTAGGGGCACCAGCTGTGCTTTGAGCAGTAGGTGCCGCTGGTTTACATGTTCTGGGTGAAACTGAAGACTGGGATTCAGGTGCAGAAAATGAAAACAAAGTCACAGTTTTTATTTCGTGGTGGCTCTGAAACACGGTTTGCTCATGCATTGAAAACAAGGGTAATGAGCATTTTCTCACGTCTGTCGTGGACAGTTGTAGCCATGCATTGATCAAAGAAGCCAGTGCAATTCTTTTTCTACCTAAATACTTGTGTACCGTAGATCGCCGCTTTGAACCACTTTCTAACTTTGTGAGCCCAGTTCGGATGGGGTATAGTGAGCCCTCACAGAGCAGGATTTCCAGCTGAACGCGGTTCCCTTCATCCTTTCTCAATTTCACACTCCCGCGGTCTGCTCGACCTGACCCACATCTGGGGTGTTTCCATTTCCATTTTCATGTTTCCGTACACCGGTGGCTCACGCAGGCCATGCCGCACAATGTCCGGCGTGTTTGACACGGCATGAAACTAGCCGCTCTATCTTTTCCGTGACAATCCCTTCTTGTTTCGACACGTGTCGTGCGGTGCACCCTAACCCTAACCCTAAAACTACTGTCCCACTGACCCACGTTGGCCTTGTCAGCGGAAGAAGAAGGGATCCTCACGGAAAAGACAAAGCGACTAATACATTCTCGTTTGACAGTACACACCCCTTGCTGGGCCATGAGCGATCACCTAAGGCAACGGCTTTCACCGCAACATAACGCGAACGGAGCGCCATCGCAACAACCTCGCTGCGTTTCAACCAGCAGGACCGACGCCCACATCGGCACAGGGCAGACACCTAATCCGGAACGTGCGCCAAGGCTGCCTTGATCTTGCTGACCGCTGCTCGCCAGATCGTATACATCGTACACATCGTACACAGCGTTGTCTTTGCGAGGATAGTCAAGAGGATGCCTGACGGGGGAACGAACCGGGTACATCTGGGTGGGATGTCCCACTGCTGTGCGTGGTGTACCCAACCTCCCGGCCAGGGGTGTGAAGAGGGTTGTCCAACCCCTCGAGTACCCTTCCACCGAACAATCGTACACATCGTACACACGGGCAGTGCCAGCCGGCGCTCCCGTCATTTGGCCAATCACGCCATCCCGAGGGCAAGCGTCACCCGCGTTGGGGACGCCCCCCAACGTTTCAGCGCCGTCGCGGCGCCAAACGCGGCCGTCCGCTCCCCCCTACCCACCCCCCCGCCTTGCAGAGCCCGCTGGCCCCACACCGACACGCCCTCCTAGCTCTCTCTCGGTTTAGCTGATTCCACCTGCGCCCCAGCGAAGTGATCAACCGGAAGGGGACGCCTGGGAGAGATGGAGGTGGAGACCGTGGCCGACGAGATGGACGCAGAGGCGCCCAAGTACAGCTTCGACAGCCTGTGCGCCTTCCCGGAGGACGCCCGCGCCTGGGACGCGCTCTTGCGCGAGGCCAAGCCGGACACCGGGCCGTTCGCCAAGTTCTGGGCTCTGCTGCTGGCATCGGATGTGGCCGACGGCGCTCGGCTTTGCAACTTTGGGGCCTGCGATGCGCTGGGCCGGCCGGCGTGCGGCCCCCGCCTGTTCCTGCGCGAGTGCTTCGCCCGGCTGTGGAACGCGATCCGGACCGTCCAGAGGCCGTTCTGCCGGGTGGCCGTGGCGGGCGGGCCCGGCGTGGGAAAGACGATGTTCATGGCGTACTGCCTGCTGCGGCTCTCCAAGGCCGACCCCGCCCCGCTGATCGCCCTCGACCTGGGGCACGGCAAGGCGATGCGCTTCATCCGCGGTCCCGACGTACGCCGCGTCTCTGACCCGGACGCGATCGAGGAGCTGCTGGAGTGCCGCAGCTGCGTGTACCTGTCCGACGGCGTGCCGCCCCGCGACTGCTGCGGCCGGGCGATCTACTTCGCCGCGGACGGGCGCGCCGCGCCGGCGGCCTTCCACGGCCTGCTGTGCCGGCGGCTCTTCCTGCCCCCCTGGACGCTGGACGAGATGCAGATCTGCGGCATCCTGTGCCATCCCGACGTGCCGGAGTCGGAGATTCGCCGATGCTTCGCGCTGTTCGGCGGGAGGGCGGGAGTCGTCTTCCCCCATGCCCGCAGAGCCGAGGCCCTGATCGAGACCAGGAGGGCGATCCGATCTTCGGATGTCGAAGGGGTCCTTGAGGCGGCGGAGGAGTGGTGCGTCGGGGGCGGGCTGGGCCAGGGGGACCGGGTGCTGGTGTCCGTGCCCGGGCCCGACTTCGGGAGCGTGAGCTGCGGCTTCCACAGCCAGTACGTGGCGGACGAGTGGGTGAGGGCCGCGGCCAGGGATCGGGCGGCGGGGCTGTGGGGCGCGGTGGCGGGCGGCCGCGGGGAGGCCTGCGGCGGCGTGGTGGAGAGCGCGTGGGAGGCGGCCGCCCACAACCTGCTGCCCGGGCGCAGGTGGGTGGTTCGGGGCGGGAGTGAATGCAGGGAGCGTGGCGTAGCAAAGAATCGTACAAAGATCGTGAAATTTCGTGACAGCTATCACAAACTCGTAAAAATTGGTGGTGTAAAAACCGTGATGCATGGGCAAAAAGGCTTGATGAGCGGGGCAAGAAAAGAGAATAAGAAAGAGCACATGCAATGGGCAACCCCGCCTGAGAAAGTGCGTGCAAGACTCCTATATATGCTGTTGTGGAGAGTAGCGGACGTGCAGAATAGTAATGTGGAAATTCACGATGATGATTGCTGGATCCCGTGCGGCGGGATCCTGCGCTGGCCATCGTCAGCATCATTCGCCGCTCGCGCCAGTCGTCGGTCTGGTGTCTCCCTTGCGGCAGACTTTGTCGTTGCATCCCTTGCTGCGCCAAAACCTTGATGGATTTGGCGTCATGAAGACGACGTTCGGTCACGCGTCGATCGAGATGCGCCTGCGAATGCCGCTGCACGCGACTCTCCCCGTCGCTACAAAGGCAGTCAGGGGCGTTGCTCCCTCGCGCGCAGGTGGGTGGCGCGGGGGCTGGCCAGCGGCGGGGAGGTGGTGCTGAACATGCTGGGCGTGTCCATGGAGTGGACCCCAGGGAACTGCTGGCCCATGGTGGACGTGGAGGAGCGGCGGTACTACCGGCCGGACTGCAAGGCCTTGTTCAGCGTGGACGCTCTGTACGTGGTGCCGCCGCAGGTGCACGTGTTCAAGATGACGGCGGGGCGGGAGATCGACGTCAACGCGGCAGGCATCATCAAGGTATGTGTGGGCAGGGCATGAAATTAGTCATTCTGTCTGTCCGTGAGGATACCTTTTTGTTTCGACGCCCTAAACCCTGGATAACTGACCCATAGACCGGCGTTGGCCTTGTCAGCGGAAGAAGGGATCCTCACAGGAAAAACAGAGGGACTAACATATTCTCGTGCGCAGCGGCTTTGATAATACACCCTTGCGCGCTGATGATGTCCGACAGATCAACAAATTTGACATGCCCAGTTTCCGATGTGCTGCGTATTTACACATCGCCGTCGGGAATGGAGCAGCCGATGAGGCAAATAAGGGCAAATGGCTACACCTGCTTGCGTACTGCCTCCAACTGCTCGCACCAAAACTCGGTCTCGCTCGGCGCGTGCCCTTGACGGCACCCTGGCGAGGTCTATCTAATGCCTTTGCTGGCTGCCGCCCGTACTTAAGAGCCATAGTCATCCGCACGGGGTGCGCTGCCCCAGATGCGTTGCCTCAAGACATTCGCCTCGAGATTTGTCACCTCCTCTCCTGACATGTGCCCCGTGCCCGTCCAAGGTTGTGGACCACGTGAAGGAGCGCCTCCCTCACCACCTGGGCTGGGCAGTCAACCTGCATTTCGTGGCCCCGGAGGGCTGCGGCCTGGGCGCTCCGCAGCGGTACATCACGCGCAGCGGCAAGAACTACGACGTCAAGAATACCATGCTGGAGAAGGTGAACCAGTACGTGCTGGAGGTGGGCCAGGCGGACTTCGAGAGGCACCTGTCTCAGGGGGGCAGCGGCGAGGCCGGCAGGCACTGGGCCCTGAAATGACCGGCCGCGTCCGGCAGGTGGCCAGGCGATGATTGCGAGCCGCGCGTCAGGCTTGGCAAGCAGTGAGGCACAACACTGTGCATGTATTGGGCAATAGCATTGTGCATTAATCGGGCAATAATAAAGTGGATTAATTGTGCATTAATGTCGCGCGAATTGAGGTCTTTGGACATCGATTGATTCGGTTGGGGCTCCAATGTTGGAGGCCCATGTGGGCAAAGGCGGTGGGGCCGCTTGGCCGTGGGACGACTCTAGGGGACGGCAGGAAGGCGTGCTGAAGGCCAGGAGAGAAAAAAGTGAATCAACGCAGATCTCCCCGGGACGAGGAGTGTAGCTAGAGGTGGTCAATCAATCAAGGAAAGTTTCAATCCAACGCGCGTCATCGGCAGGGCAGTGACGTCACTGTGTGCTCGAGGTTCTGCCGGATTCCTTGTGTGGTCTGAACTCACGTTGGGGTCCAATTATTCAAGATCCCGCCGTTCCCCTCAATCAGGGCTTCGCAGGCTGCCTTAATTTTTTAGTTGGGAGGTATACAGATTGGTGGACCCTGACAGGTTAACAAGTACCTGGCGGTGTGTACAATGGAAAGGGATTCAGTGGAGAGCGGTGTTGCGACGACATGTGCCTCCAACGGGTGGATTGAATTTTCAAACTTTTGGCAATTTAACGCTGTGCGGAAGTTGGCTTTTGCACTTAGATTCGATCAATTTTGATTGCGACGTTTGTGCGTTCTAAATAGCAGGCTTGTGGCACAACTGGAATTCAACCTTGAACAGTTCAATTGTAGGAGGAAACGGAGCTGTAAGAATGCTGTAATAATCTCAGCAAAAATGCATCCCTGCTGTCTTGAAATGAAGTCGTAAATCGATTTGTGGTTACAAATAAATCAAGCTTTACTTGCGAGTCTCGCCCAAGAGTAGCGAATCGGGCATACAAATTGCTAGCCAGGCTCGATGTCAGGCTTCTTTATTGAGGCTTACAGACAAATGCAATGGCAGTGAATACTGTTGATTAAAAGTACAGCATTCCCTGTAGACACTACAGGAAACAAAAGATATTCCTACTGTTCGGATGCTGTCTTTATTGGCGGAAATTCTTGCGTGATATCTTTGCGCTTGTATCTTGCGATGGTGCGACATTGATGCCATCCCATGCAGCCCATGCTCGGTACGCACGGTTTATGTTTCAATGCATTTCGTTGCTGTTGGGCGGTTGTTTGGTTGGACGAAACCAGGTGTGATGTGCCGATTGCCACGGCGCATATACACGGCGATACATGCCATAGCAAGGTTGCCTTGCCGCTGCTCTGACCGAGCGTCCAGCATCCTCCAACTTCGCGCCTTCTCGAGATGGTGGCATTGAAAATCTAACAAAGAGATCTATTGCCTCGCTCCCTTGACTGGCCCAGCCCTGCGCCTTGTCCAGATGGAAGGCTTCGAGCTGACCCCAAGCCTAGTTGGTCTCCCCTCCCTCGGAAGCCCAAGACCGAAGCGCTGCAGGCAGCAAGCGGTAAGGGCGACGCTCAAATATGCCAGCCACCATGCCTTCTTCTGGAGTGCACACAATGCGCGCTGGTTGGGTGGCGGACGGATGGGCGAAGGGCACGCGGAATGCATCCGTGCTTGCTGGAAATGCCGTGGGCAGTTGAGAAGAGGGGCAAGGGCGAAGCAGCATTGATAACGTGGACCATATCGTTACCAAATCGAAAGAGGGGAACAAGTGTGATCTCATTGAGCTGCATTATTTGAAGGGCGGAAGAAGGGCTAGCCTTGTGCACCCTGAGGGAAAGGCACTCTTGTTTACGAAGAGGACGCGTGTATCCTGCTATGCGCGAATCGTTGTATTAAATTTTACATGTCTACCATACAAGCGGGTCTCAACGCCAAATTTTTGAAGCGCAAGATTATGCACTACCTCAAATGGATCGTATGTTCCCAAGGGAAACGGGAAAGAAACATTTTTTTGCAGTTCAAGATCAGTTGAATTTTGCTTCACTTCATATTTCCGAATCCATTCAAACTTGCTTCAAAAATCACACTGCTTGATTCCATAGGAGCAACTGCTGTGGCGTTGTATGTAATTAGTGAGGCACACCGACGATCGAAATCAATTCTTTGGGACCCATCGATAAGGAATGCATGTCGGTGCTTAGAAAAGGCAGGTCATATTTGAAAAGCAATGTCGAGAAAAGATCATCAGCAGGCGCTGAAGCCGAGGCCACATTTCGTCGCACAAATGCTGTCAAGATTGCCACACTGACGAGGCAAAATCCCATTGTGTTGAGAGCTCCTGGACATACGTGTTTCTGAAATCCTATACTGCCCTGCTGTTTCATTTCAGAGCTTCCTTCGGCTCGTATGCATAGTCTTGGAAAGGCTGGACATAAGGAGTTGGTCTTCTCTTGAAAGAGCCCTGGTGGCGGTGGCGCACTCCTGCTTTGTACACAGCTGGGTCGGCAGGACGATGAAACGCTACTGGGTGCCAGAGGTAGTGCACAGTAAGTGAGGCCATTTGCGCATCCATGAATTCCTTTCTTCGTAGGCATATGGGCTGAGTGAGCTCTTGAAAACACACGAAATCGGAATTTGTGAATTGAAAAAGCGCAAAATAATGAATGTGCACTTGCAACGTTAGAGCTGCCAATGTCGTAATTGAGCAATGGACGCTGTATCTGATAAGTAGGTCTCAATTCACTGAATTCTGCGAATGCGTTTTATGCGAAAAATGATCTAAAATCGGTGTGCGGTTGTTTCCAGATTGAAAACAAAGTGAAAGACCTATAATGCAGAGAAGTGTTTTCCGAGAACTAGCCATTGCTCCAGAAACACGGGTCGCCGTTGTTCAAGCAATGCAAATTGTTTCTGTGGCCTGGATATGTGCCCAGAAAGTGTACATTTTCTGCAGCATACACCATCGTTGGATGGCACCAACGCATCAACTAATGATGGCCTTTATTCTGTTTAATGAACAAAGCAATTGTGATGATTATACAAAGTCCAACGATCAATTGTAACTGTGACATTCGCAAGTGCGTCGCTACTCCTAAAGGAGTTAAATTATTCCTATTCCCTGGCATATCTATTTCTGCAATGAGAATACCTGACACAAATATCTCTTGCAGAAGTGCTGGTTGAGCATGCAGCTCAATGCGGCTGGATGGGAAAGACAGCTGGAATTGCGATACTTCTGCGCCTTGTTTCTGATGATCCGTCTGCGTGCGAAGAGATTGTCGGCGCGGAAATCATCAGGTATCCCCACCGATTTCGTACATTCTGCATCTGCGTGAATGCTGTTGATAACGATACATGTACAATATGATTGATGCATGTCATGTGTGTTTCGCATCTTGCCACTGTCGATCTTCTATCCGTCTGCCCATCTGCTCGTCCTCTCTCCATTTGTCGGCCTGCTATTCCTCATGCTCACGTACGAGCGAATTGTGAACACGCTCGTCTGTTTGCTGAGAGAGTTGCGCATGTTGCAATCTATGATCAGGTGTTCTGATATGTTCTGATATCCGGATATCTGAATGCCAAGCATCAAATGCCGTGCCACAAAACCTCACCCAGAAGCAGTTTTAGGCACAGCCTCAATTGAAGGGATGAGGGCCATTCAAAACAGCATGGACGCATTGCTCTTGCAAACGCAAGCGTTCGCCGGCCCAACAATACCAATTTGATGGAAAAAATAAGCCATAGCATGGAGCCCGAAACCCTATGCCCACCTTCTCCTGAATGTCGCCGCAGCGATCCAACGAACCTCACGGCCAGTTTGCTTTGCTAAGCTTAACGCGGCGAGTTGTGGAAGCTGTCGCTGTGTATTTACAAGCGGCAAATTAAACGAATGCAATGCATAATTCGCGATAAATTCTTCGGCAGTGTCATGAAACTGAGGAATGGTTGGCGCATTGGTCTGCATCGCAGTTCCGTTGTGAAAATGCTGGCGACGAACTACCCGTTATGCTTCTACGCGACTTGTCTTTTGCGAGTCGTGGCGGAAGGCAGCGCCGGTAGGTTTGCTAGCCACAGACATGTGGGCCACAGATTAGTGCGCCGTAAGTCTGTTGGAAACAACGTAATTGCTTTGAAATATGGAAAAACTACAAATGGTTATTTCAAACCCCAAAAGAGCTGCATGTCCTGAGATGTGAAGCAGTACATCGGGGCTTCTATGTCCTGGATATCGGACATGGTATGGGCGCCCGTATCCCGGGATATGGCCAAAACCTGGATATGTATATCCAGGATATGCAGCGGTATTGCCAACGCAGACTTGGAGTGTCTTCAAGACTACGCAATCGGTCCATTATTTGCATTTTAAGTGTGCATGTTCAGCATTGGAAAGTCGAAGAGAACTCTTGAATACTTGCTTGGTACAACGTATTCGTATATCGCTGGTGCAACCGTGAGGTTTTAGGATCAGAATTTGAAGGAAATTGTTGAGCTCGTAGCAAGAGACGTAGGATATTGCCCAAGATGAATCAAGCAACATGTGGCGTGTTTTGGGATCAACTGTGGGATTTAATTGAACACTTTTTATTGAAGGTCAGAAGGACAGCATATTGGACGCGGGCGGCGTTGCAGCACTAAAAAAACTAGCTGATGCGTCTTCCGTGTCAAGGCACTACCGCATTTTAGAGGTGATTGGCGCTCATTATTATTCGATTATTTTCCATGAACATACTTCAACTTGAGGTTGATGGCTGCCGATGGGAAACATAAGGAAACACAGCTTATTGTTATTTCAAAAAATTTATTCCCATTCCCAAGATAACATGTGGATGTAGCGCTTTTTGTTTACAATTTTTCTGCATTTGAACTCAAGAGTTTCAAACTTAGCTCTCGTTTCAGTGGCCAAACCTGTAGCATTGAATAGTTTCATCTCCATTGTTATTACACTGGCATTAGGTTTTGGTGCTAAAACCTGGCTAGCCCAACCTTGAGAGCTCAAGGTTGGGCATATGCTCCACGTTGATTCTTGTCATGGCTACGTCAAGGTGC